CAGAGATGTAGAGAGATGCATGAACTTCCTGGGGGAAGTACTGGGTTTCCTCCTTGATGGTATTCAGCAGTCCGGACCTATTAGTGATTTTCAATATAGTCAGAAGTTGTACCATCATCACCACAATCAATTTTGGAACATTTTATCATTACCACTCCCTTCCCAACCTCCACCCCAAACCCATACCCATTAGCACAGTAGTCATTCTTCCCCCACCCCTTCAGCCCTAAGCAACCACTGATCTACTTTCTGTCTGTATATTTACCTGTTCTGGACACTTCATAGTAATGGAGCCATATGATACTGTGTTCTTGGGGGTAGGGAGATGACTGGCTTCTTTTTCACTTAGCTTCATGTTTTCAAAGATCATAGTATAAAATGTTCATTCTTTTTCATAGCCAAATAATATTCCAGTACATGGAGTTATCACATTTTGTTTATCCATTTGCTAGTGGTCGACTTTGGTTATTGTAGATAATGGTACTGTGAACATTTGTGTACACTTTTTATGTGAGCATATTCTTCTTGAGTATATACTGAAAAGAATTGCTGGTTATATAGAAATGTTTATCCTTTTGGGTAACTGCCAAACTGTTTCTCAAAGTTGTTGCACTATTTTACATTCTCATCAGCAGAGTATGAGGTCCATTTTCTGCACATCTCCACCAACATTTTTCATTATCTGTCTTTTTGATTATAGCATCCTTGTAGTGTCTCATTGTGGGTTTAATTTGCATTTCCTTGATGGTTACTGGTGTTAAACATATTTTCATGTGCTTTTTGGGGCCATTTATTTGTCGTCTTTGGAGAAATGCTTGTTAAGATCCTTTGCTCATTTTCAATTAAGTTTTTCTTTTTTATTGTTGAGTGGTAAGAGTTCTTGTATTTTGGGTACTTAGATCCTGATCACATATATGATATATAAATATTTTCTGCTAGTCACTGGATTGACTTCATTTTTCTAATGTTGTCCTTGTAGCACAAAAGTTTTAAAATTTGATGAAGTCAAACTTAACCTATTTTTCCTTTGGTTGTTTTACTTTTGGTGTCATATCTGAGAAATTATTATCTAATTCAAGGTCATGAAGACTGTTTCTTCTGAGTTTTATAGTTTTAGCTCTCATTAGGCCTCTGATTCATTTTGAATTAATGTTTAAAAATTGAATATGGTATGAGCTGGGGGTCCAACTTCTTTCTTTTGCAAGTGGAGGTTTATTTGTTCCCATGCTGTTTGTTGAAAGACTTGGTGGATTTTAAGGTCCTTCTCACTCTGAAGATTCTATAATGTTTTGTAGTATATTGGTTGCTATTGTCTAAACAGGTAAACAGTCAGAATTTCATGAGATGGTCATTTTTTTCCATGAATACATTGTGTCTAAAAACAGATATTGCCACTAGTCTTATAACTGTTTCTTCTAGACTTCTCAGTTGCCTTTTCTATCTTCCTTTGACTTCTGTGGTTTGACTTTTTACTGGTTTGCTCTGGTTCTCTTTGGAGGTTTTCTTCCTCTTTTCCACATAAGTATATATATCCTTCCAGCCTTTTGTTATGGAAACTATTTATGCACTTAATTTTAACTAGCTTTGTCACTTTATGTAGCTTACAGTTGTTTTTTTTTTTTTTTTAAGATTTCTTTTTATTTATGCATACAAGAACTGATGTGTAGGCCAGAGGTGTGGGGAGTGAGAGGATTCACCAGAGACATAGTGGGGAGCAGAACAGACAGATCTACTAAATATACTGCTGAGGGGAGCAGCGGGTGAGACAGGAGAGGTCTGTGCCCCATGTAGGTTAGCTTCCTGGCCTGGGATTGAACACATGCCTCAGAGGCCGAGGATAGCTTGATAGCAGTGAGACTTTAATCCCTGAGCCACCAGGGAGGTCCAGCTTAGAGTTTCTTAAACCTAACTATAGTTGACAATAAAAATTTCCTCTGAATGTGAGAGTGACACCTGGAATTTAGTATCTGAAAAATGTGTATTTAATCTTCCCCAAACCATAGCTCTCCCAGTTTCTTCATTGTCTTCTCTTAAACTCCTAAACTTGGAATTTTCTGATCCACCCTGCCTTTATCTTTGTATTCTGTTCAATATTAAATGATGCTGAATATGATGTAATAAGATCCCTGGATGTACCCTTCCCTCTTTACAGCTGTAGCCAGGCTCTTGCACCTCACAGCTGAATGGCTGCCTTTTGGCTGGTTTCCCAGGCTTTGGTTACCTTCTGGTAAGGCCCTAACTCAACTCCTAGATTAATCTTCCCCCGGGACCCTTCTGTTATGTCACTCCCTGACCTTAGACCCCGTAGTATCAACTTTATACACCATGGATTAGCATCTAAACTCCTCCTCCTCGTCCCATTCCTCATCTGTTTTTTCCCTGAATGGTGCTCCATAATGACAGTTAGACTGACTTAGTCTTTATTCTTATTTCTTTGTTCTCAACCCTTTCTCATTGCACACACACTTCTTTCTTTGTGGTGTGCTTTTGCTTCTCGCGCTGCTCAGTCTCATTCTCAATTATTGAAACCTTTTCTCTCCTTCCCCCCACTTTTTTTCTGTGTGATTCTTTCACTGTTTAGACATTTAGTTTGTTAGTAATAAGGTTCATGATATCCTGCACTTTTTTGTTTCGGTTGTACTACTTTTTAAAAGCATTGTCCCATGGGGGAACTGTCCTATCTCGGTTATGCCTCTTTTTCTTTCCCACCTACAGCACAGAGCCCTGAACATAATAGCTGCCAATAAATCTTCCTGGCTGACAGATCAATACAAGTTTTGGGGGGGAGATAGGTAATGTTTAGCATCACCATTTTTCAGTTTTAGAAATGCAAAACAATGCCTTTGTGCCATTAACTGGCTTTAATTTTTTATTTTTTGGTTTCATGCCAAATTTTGAAGACCATGTCCTTATGATAATACTGTGACGTTCAATAGCACATTACAACAAATATTAAATCTAGTTTATTACACTATGCACCTGTTATAGCAGCGTCTCCCAAGAGAAAGGTTAGCTTCTTGGATGCTGGCTGGGCATTTTTGGAAGGTGCATTATAGCCTTAAAGCCAGTATCACCTTTTAATAGGTTAAGGTCCCCTGACAATCAATAGCAACAGTCACCAGCACCCCCCATAGGAGTGATGGCCTGATTTCCTTCTCCTGTCTGAAGCTGTGCTTCTGTCCACAACCTTAAATGTCGACACCCTTCTTTCTATAACTTCCATGTCACCCAAAGTCTGCACCCAGAGGGAAAGGAGGGGGCAGTAGTGGCGTATGGCTGCAGAGGACACAGGGCAGGAGGCGGCTTCCACATGGCTCGTGGGCTTCCCTGCTGCCCACCCCCAGCCTTTCTTTCCTCAGGAGCAGAACGTTACCTTAAAGATAGTCCTTAGATCATAGTTCCTTCTTGGCGCCATCAGCACACACTTCCTTTATTTTTTAAATTTGTAACCTTTAATCTTCAGTGTCCGTGCCAGCCCACTCACTTTCCCGTGCATATCACCCCATTCTGAAATGTTTGTTTCAGGCCTCAAAGCTATATGGTATAATTACGGTGTGACTTCAGCGTCCATACTGGTCTTTTCTTACAGTATGTGTTTTTATGATCTATTCATGTTGCTGTCAGCACATCTAATGTGTGATTTCTAAAAACTACCCATATTTTGTATCATTTTCATTTTGATTTTCCATTCTTTGTTGTGGAAATCAAAGTTACTTCAGGCTCCCTGCTACATCATCATCACAGCAAACATTCTCACACAGGTATATAAAGTCTGTAATTTGGATTTGGATATAGACAGTTTTATATGAAAACATCTTGGACTTTATCCCCCAGGCTGGTGTCCCTGGATTACGAGGCACAAAGTATCACTCAGCATAGCCAGATCACTTAGCAGAACAGCCATGTTCCTTTATACTCCTGCCCCCGGTGCATGAGAGTTCTTGCCTCCTCCCGTCTTTGCCAACCCTTGCTGTTACCCACCTTTCTCATTTTTGCCCTTTTGATAGGGATAAGTGTGATCTCATTGCTTTAATTTGTATTTTACCTGTTGGTTTTGCTTTGCATTTGATCATCTCTTTATATTCTTGTTAACCACTTAAACTTCTCTTTCTGTGATTTCCCTGCTCATTTCTTTTGGCCATTTTTCTGCTGGATTGCCTATAAAGTTCGCATTGTCTCACAGGATCCTTGTCCATTCTAGATACTTAATTCCTTGCCAATTTTAGATATTGTGAAAGCTGCTTCTGTCCTGTATCTTTATATTCTTTGTTAAACAGATATTCATAAATTTGTTTTCAAACCCAACAGTTTTTCACTGTATAGCTTAGCTTGTATTTTTAGTATGTCTGTGAAGTCTGTTTCCCAGTATGTTCTGTCCTCTCCTGTTACCTCCCAGTGATTTTTTTTTTTCCCCCACACAACTCTGTGTACATGGCCTTGTGGAGAGAGATCTTTCCTTTCTCATCTGTGGCTCTCAGGAGGCTTGGCATTTGGTGTTAATGTTTGGCTGCTTCTGATGGAAGGAAAAAATGGCAAGAAAATCAATGCACTCTCTTTTCTCTAAGCTGTGCTCTTCTGCTCAGAGAAGAGCCTCTGTGACGCTGTCTGTACTGTGTAAGTCCCGTCTGCTGAGCCAGAGGGTTGGAAAGGGGTGCATACCTACCAAGCAAGTACGCAAAATCTTTCCCTAAGGAATTTGGAATTACTAATCTCTGTTGGCCTCTTGAAAGTCATACGAATTTAGGAGTTTGGGGGTGACCATCTTCCTCCATGTTCACATAAAAAGAATCTTACAGAAATGATCTGCAGGGAAGGAATGAGGGAGATAGGCACAGAGGGGAAAAAGCCTTATGACCCCATAGAAATGGAAAAAGACTGAAACAGAATGTGAGAGTAACTGTCCTGAATTCTGTTACTTACACCTCAGGATAGGAGGTGTTTTAATAATGGCCACATTTAAAACAGAAGGAATAAAGTCTGATTAATTTTTTATTTCTCAGGAAAGTTGGGCCGATTCCCACCTCTGATGCATCATCACCAGGCACCCTTGGATGGCCAGACCCCTGGGGCTCGTTTCCAGAGGTCTCACCTTTCGGAGGCCTTCACAAAGGCCAAGGCAGCAGGGGGAGGAGTTGGAGGAGGAGGCAGTGGAAGAGGCCTGATGGGGCAGATTATTCCAATCTATGGTTTCGGGATATTTTTATATATATTGTACATTCTATTTAAGGTAAGTGGAATCCCCTTGTTTATATTACATCAATGAATTTCTAATATAATAAAAAATTATTTTCAACATTGAATAAAATCTCTAAGATTTAATAAAATCTCTAAGAATTAATGACTGCTCCCAGAACTCACAACTGAAAATTCAGAAGCAAGATTTGAACCTGATCTTCTAGTTGCTAATTTAGTGAGCACTTGACTTCAAAGTCTGTCCATACCCACTGCCAATTTTTTTTTTTTTTTTTTTTTTTTGGACTGAGCATCCTTGCAAGCCGAAAAGACACAAAAATATTCTAAGACCTTTATTTTTAGGATTGGCACAGTGATTTACAAGTAGCCACCATGAGCTCAAATAATGACTATACCATTTGCACTCTGTCCTCCCCCAGGAAAGTGCTGTTTTTATCATCTCCAGTAATTCTCTTGCAACAGAACCACCAAGCACTAAAACCAAGTCTGATACTTTCTAGTTCTGGGGAAGCAGATTCCAAATTAAGATTCACTTCTGGGCAGACTTTGGCAGGTCATGGGCCTAAGCACTGGAATTGGAGAGAGAAGCTTCACTTTGCCCTCCTAACTAGAATAAGACATGAGCTCCTTCTGGCCCAGGAGATTCTCTAGCAGTCCAAGCTGACTCTGAGAATGCCCTGGGGGCTGCATGTGCCCCTTTTAGAGAAAATTTTTCCCTTGTGTCTTGATTATTTTTTTATTTAGATACTTTCCCTGGGCTGTTTGGTTACTTTGTTGTATTGTTTGTTTTTGTTTTGTTTTGTTGGTGAAATTTTTCTCCAGTGTTGCTGTTTGATTTATGATTTAATTTTTTCATTTTTTATGAGGGGTTCCATGACTTTGAGGTTCTGAGTTGCTGTTGATGTCTGTACTCCCTTCACTTCTCAGCTCTCAAAGGGGAAAGCTGCAGAGGCTCGGAGCTGCTCTATCGCCTCGCCTGGAAATGCCCACAGGAAAATTAGTAAGTGCCTCTTTCAAGGCTTGAGTCAGACAGCGCTATTAAAGCAAGAGACAATCTGTAGGTATGTCTTCAAAGCATTTCTCAAACGCTATGCCAAGTTAATCTGATCCCTGAATTCTGGGAATTCACAAAAGTTTCCATATTGAAGTTAGATTTGCATGGCAAAGATAGAAAAAGTATAAGAACATGCATTCACTTTTTTATATAGGCAAATTTGTATTTACATTTGGATTGGGTTACTTCTCATTTCCAGAACTCAGATTATTTGTAGCAAATATCTTTATTTCTGAGAGGAAAACTGAGACAGAGAGATCAAGTCCTTGCCAGAGTCAGTCAGTAGATCTAGGGATAGAGTTTTAACACTTCTGACTCTTGAAAAATGGTCATCGAATATTTATTGACCAACTAGAGTATTCTTTGCTCTCTGGAGAAATGAAATGTGTATGGCATGGTCCTTCCCTGTAAAAGTGTATCATCTAGAGTGGATGTCAGGAAAAGTAACTTGTGGAAACTTTACTATTAGAAAGAAAGGACAGCTTTACGGGAAATCACATCTAGCTGGCTGGCTGTGGAGGAGGGCCTGTCACATAGAATGGCCTGGGTAAATATAGCCTGACATAGCTATAGCTATGAGAGAGAAGGCCTAAAAAATAGGTAGGTTAACTCATAGTGATGAAGGTCTCATCACTGTGAGGCCTCCTCAGAAGTTTTTAAATAAAAGCCAAATGAAGTGAGACTTACTCCTGGCTTCTGCATGGAAATAGATATCCCAGTCACAATTCTGCATCCTTTGGGGAATCTTAAATATTCAAAGAATTCTTTAAGAAAGATGCGGTGTCCCTTTAAAAAAAAAAAAAAAGATTTATTTATTTATTTATACAAGCACTGGGTACAGTCAGAAGCATGGGTGGGTGAGAGAATTCACCAGAGCCAGCACGGGGAACAGAACAGGCAGACTGACATAGTACACTGCTGAGGGGAGCAGTGGACGTGGCAGGAGAGGTCTGCACGCCATGTGGGACCCTCGCCGGTGGCCAGGGATTGAACCAGCGCTGCAGCGGCTGCGGGCAGCTTAGCAGCCCAGTGCTCAACCACTGCGCCACCAGGGAGGCCCCGATGCTATGTCCTTAATAGAGATAGTGTCTAATCAATAGTGCTGATAAATGCATAAGTAAAATAATTTCAAAGATTTGAGGATGCTTTAAAGAGTATCACATTTTGAAAGTTGTCACTTAATGCATTTAAAACGAAAGTAAATAAAATGAATTCCTAAGAGCAACTGCTTTTATAATGTATATATAAGTTACATCAGCTTCTTATTCTTCAAATTTTAATCACATTGGTAAAAGTATTAAAAGGCCTTTGAAATACTACATTTTGCAATGACCCTCTAAATGGGTAGAAGGATGCTTAGGTGTAAAATAGAAAAACTGTTGATTATCTGCATAGTGAACATTTTATTTTCCTACTTTAAAGTTCATTTCATGTGATGACTGTTTTATTTTTCTGTTCCACTTTTGGGGTCTTAATGTTAGTTTCAATAGGTAGATAGGCTCACTACTGACCCTTGTTGAGAAAACTGCTCTGGGAGGCAAGGTTACCCCACATTACTCCAGGTGACTTGGGTAGAAAGCCTTGGGCAGGGAGATCTTAGTCATAGTTTAAGGTTTTATCTATTATAGATGCTTAAAATTTTAACTTGTTTTTCAGGTATGTTTTTAAACCTTTAGCTGCAGGTGAAATATTGCTTATTTCAAGATCTTTACTCCTTTTCTAAAGTGTCTTATACAGTTGGTAGTTTGATCTTAAACATCATCTGGATTAAAAAGTGTTTATTTTCTTTAGTTCTTTTTGGGTGACTGGGGGGGTATGCTTTTACTCTTATGTCTTTTCTTTACCATGTCCTGCTGTATTTCCATGTGTGTGAGAGCAATTTGTTCATCACTAACTTACATGTATCCTTTAGGTCTTGGTGCCTATACCTCACTTCCCTTTTCCTCTGGATTGGATAAGTAGGACAGACTCTCAGTTTCTGAGTCTCAGAACCAGCCTGTATTATTGTAGTGTCATAACCAGCCGTGTTTCATAAAAAAGGTTGGGGAGTTTTACATATTGTGGTTCTCAGATTGATGTTTGTTTTCCAGCCAATTTTGAGCTTGTTCAACTGCAAGAAAAACTGAAAGAGACAGAGGAAGCCATGGAAAGATTAATCAACAGAGTGGGGCCTAATGGTGAGAGGTAGGTTTTCACATAACAGGACTCCTTCCTACTTGAGAAAATCCAAAAATTGCTTTTCTTTGATTTATGAGTCATTAATATTTTCATTTTATGTAATTGTCAACTTAATTTACTTCTCACTTATTTAGCACTTCCACATATCAAGCAGTCTCAGTTGTCGAAAGTATATGTTCAGTGTCATGGACATTTACTGTGAGTAAATTTATGAGTAACTCCTGCAGGCCAAAATGACCAGGTTTTAAGAAAGACAATTTCTTCTCTTTTTTTAGGTGAACTAAGATCATTAAATATTGAGCTTTCTATATGAGACACAATGAGAGAAGAGAGCAAATATGACATTTTGTGTTGACTATGCCAGCACAAACTTAGGTGTGTAATAGGTGTCAGGACCTAACTAGCCTTCTCGATACCCTGCAGGGAGACATACTCCTCTTGCTATAGGATCTCAAAGGGCAGCTTTTGGAGGTTGATGAAGTGGTAGCAACTATGAAAACATGGATGTAGGAAGGCCAGGGAGGAAACACCAGATGTGAGATTAGAACAAAGAGAGATTTAGTTTCACTTAGGCCTTCTGTGTGAAACTGGAGGAAGAACTGGGGGTGAGTGGCAAAGTCCCCTGCAGGGGAAGTATTGAAAGGCCCTTCCTGTAGCCCTGCAGGCAATGGAGTCTTTGCCTCAGAAAACCCTGCCTCCCACTTGGTAGACCCAACTCCTGAGTCTTTGAGTAAGAAGCCACATGAAAATATTTTCTCACTATTTTTCACCACTGTTCAGACTTCTTCCCTCAGATAAAATGACCCCGTCATCTAACGCTAACCATCGAATACCACACCCCCTAACTACTATGGGTCCCCTTTGGGCTAGACTTCTCCCTGTTTTCTATGCGAAGCAGTAGTTTTTCACTACCCTGTAGCTAGAGTTGTGCCACTTAGTTGCTTCTGGACCCACAGACCTAGTTCAAAGTATTTACTCCTTATAAGATGCTGACATGCAGCATCCTTGAGGACAAATAGATTCAAGACTGCCACATGGCAAAGATTGCATAAAACATTTTCCACAGTACCTCTCAGAAACCAGGGAGCACCTCTCCTCCCACTGAGGAGACTCTCTCCCAACGTTGTCATTTTTCTGTTGATAAAGATGTGGCCTGACACCTTTTATACTCACAGTTAGATCCTATAGAATGTCTGCCTTCAAACTGTAAGGGCTAGGTAGCCTCATGTTTTTACCTTGTTTTCCCTTTAATATTTACATTCTTTTTTTTTTTTTTAAAGATTATTTATTTATACAAGCACTGGGTACAGTCAGAAGCGTGGGAGGGTGAGAGAATTCACCAGAGCCAGAGAAGGGAGCAGAGCAGGCAGAAGGACCGAAGTACACTGCTGAGGGGAGCAGCGGGCGGCAGGAGAGGTCTGTGCGCCATGTGGGACCCTCCTCCGGTGGCCGGGGAGCAGCCGGGGATCGAACCGGTGCTGCAGAGGCTGCGGGCAGCTTCGCAACCCAGCGCTCAACCGCTGCGCCACCGGGGAGGCCCTATTTACATTCTTAACTTCAGTATCTGTGGCATTTGTCCTTTTACATGTCTCAGTTTCTGTGATTATTAGAAGAACCTAAGATACCCCTATATTTTTCTGTCAGCTTAAGATCTTACCACATTTTCAGGTTTCTGGGTGGGGGGGAGGGTGTCAAGGAGAGAATTTAACACAAAGAAGACATTTTCATTTAAAGCCTTCTAAATTGGGCCTCCCCGTTGGCGCAGTGGTTGAGCGCTGGGTTGCGAAGCTGCCCGCGGCCTCTGCGGCGCTGGTTCGATCCCCGGCTGCTCCCCGGCCATCAGAGGAGGGTCCCCCATGGCGCGCAGACCTCTCCTGCCGCCCGCTGCTCCCCTCAGCAGTGTGCTTCGGTCCTTCTGCCTGCTCTGCTCCCTGCTCTGGCTCTGGTGAATTCTCTCACCCTCCCACGCTTCTGACTGTACCCAGTGCTTGTATAAATAAATAAATAAATAAATAAATAAATAAATAAATAAAAAATAAAGCCTTCTAAATTCTTTTATATAATATTTATCCATAACTCAAGATTTTGTTTGAAACTTAATAAATGGATAATTTCTGAAACTTCACCTTAATGCTTATGTAAAAATCGAAATATGGGAAGATATTTTAAATTACTTTTTTCTAACCCAGTCCTTTTCTACTCCATTTGCTAATCTTTCTTTACTTGATTTTTTATATATATATATATATATATATATATATATATTTTTTTTTTACCCCCACTGCCATCCTTTGTACCCCCTTGTCTTTCCCTCTTAACCTTGGAGCCCTCAGCATGTTTACTGATGTCCACTAGTTTTTGAAAGTGTTTTACATTGTTACATTGTCCACTGTCAAGCAATTGTTTTCTTATTCCAACTTTGCTGGACATAATCCTCTCAAATTCCCTCCAGTTTGTTGAAAATAGCTGTTTCATCCTTTCTTAGGACTACATAATATTCCACGGTGTGGGTATACCACATCATCTTGATCCAGTCATTTGTCAGTGGAAATGTAGGCTGCTTTCAGTTCCTACCTATTGTAAATTATGCTGCTGTGACTACTGTGGACATAGGGCTTTTTTGTGTGGAGGTTTCATAGTCTTCGGATATATGCCCAAGTTGGGATTGCAGGATCATATGGCATTATTGTATTTCCATTTTTAGTTTTAAGGTAAATCTAGATTGCTTTCCATAATAGTTGTAATAGTTTGGATTCTGAAGGGGAATTTTTTTTGTATTTATAGAACTTTTCCCTGTGAGCAGTGTAAGTTTGTCAACATTTTTAAATAATAAAGCCTCCTGGGAAGTTGATATTATCAGTATCCAGCCTAAGGACACAAAGACTAAGGAAAAGATCTAGGAATCGTAATTGATGTGTCTCCCCCTCTCTATCCTTAGGGTCAGAAGAATTTCCTTCATGGAAATTGTAGATTCACCTCCTAAAAGCATGGGATTACTTGAGGGGAGAAGTTCGAGTGCAAACTCTGGCAGCAAATCACCTGGACAGGCAGGTTGAATATGTATGTAGGACTATAGATTTCTAGCATCCATTGCTGTGATATAAACCCTTTAAAGACAAACTTCATCTGTTTGTTCACTGTGTTTACATAATAGTTGCCAAATAAGTACTTAATGTTGAAAATGAATATAGTTCACTTTTGATATAAGCATTTGTAGATTATCATGGTAGAACAATAAATCATGGCCATTCCCTAGTAAATCTTTCTTTTCATTTCCTAATCTCTGAACTCTATATAGAGTCTTACTGGATGCATCTTATAGATACTGACCCTCTGAAGGCTTTTGAGAAGAAATGTCATGATCTACTCGTGCTATGGAAAAATAAAGTTACATGTATAGGGGTGGCATGTCAGAATATTATTTAAAAAGTTTTAGCAAAAAAGCAATTAATAGACTAGTAAGAGTGGAAAAGAGGAAGATTTTAACAGGACTTCATGGAGGAAAAAAATCAGACTTCTATCAGGAGTCCTTGGTTGCAAGCAGCCAATCACAGGCAGCAAAACTTGGAGGGTCAAAAAGCAGAATTTATTGGAGGATAGTGTGTAGGTCACAATATCAAAGGTATAGCTGAAGATCAAGGTTTCAGAAAGAATGGGAGCTAGAGTGACTGGGGATTTAGGGAACAGGAACAAATGAACAGGCCCTTCAACTGCTGCCAGGATGAATTAACAAGAAAAATTTTCAGATCAGGTTTCACTGTGTTCAAGATCCAATTTTAGGAGAAAGTACAGTTGGTTCCACTTGAGTCCTAGACCTGCATCACCAAACTAACCACTGCAGCTGCGGGACCACATGGCTACCCTGGGAAGAAAGAGGGGATGGAAGGCTTGATCCCAGCCTTTACTGTAAGTGGAAAAAGAGGTGGTTCTCCACAGGAAAATTACTAATTAAATAAGAACATGAAGAAGAAGAGATAGAGGAATTGGAGCTATACAGCCCAAATTAGAAGGAAGATTATGGCATCAACCAAGATAAAAATGATATAAGGGAGAGAAGCTATAAGGCTTTGGGTTAGGGATCATGGGTTCAGCCTTGTTTATAGTTGAGGTGTCATCAGAACATCCATATATAATACAGAACAACAATGGATATTTGTGCAGTAAAGAAAGAACAGAGGACACACGTTTAGAAGTCAAATGGCTCAGGGTAAGAGGAAAAGGGTCTTGTGGAAAGTTGAGGAATGTCCTTAAGGCATATCATACCATGTGGTGGCAGCCTGCAGTCTTTTGCTGACCTGAATTCTGTTCTGTGAATGGTGGTGTAAGAAACAATTTCATTCCCTCTGTGATTAAGGCTTAGATTCAGAATTTGATTCTTCTGGGTTTCTGGAATTCAAAAGTCCAATGAGGTTATCTTCCACTTTCTTTATTTTTCTAACATCTTGGACTCTGTCATTCCCAGCCTCTCCTAGCCTGCCATTCATGTAGCTGCTCATGATGTTGGGCCAACTAGAAACTGTTTTGAATTTAAGTTGAATTTAAGGTTTGTTCATGACAAACCTTCCTAATGGAAGTGCCCAGGAGATAAGAGGAGTTATGTGTAAAAAGTCTGAACTAGACAGACTTTGGACATCTGTGTAGAGTGATGGTTTAATCTGTAGTATGGTGTCACTTTCTTGAGAGCACTATTGTAAGATGGAGGAATAGGATTGAGCCTTCAGGAAAATTGTTTTAAGAGGGAGGAAGAAGAAAGTGAGCCAGGATCAGAAATAAGAGGAAAAGGGTCTTAGGGAACAGGATTTAGGGAACTGGAATGGTTAAAGACTTGGGATGACCACACGTGTGTTAATAGCCAGGGGAGGACATTCAAGCAAACTGTCCACAGTACAGAGAAGTCAGAAAGAATGAAATATGAGAAAAAGACTTGGATTTGAGAGTAGAGTGGCACAAAAATTTTGGTAAAATGATGAATGGGAAGCCAAATTTTAGGGAGGTGGTAGAAAACGAGTGGAGAAGGATAGAGGCCAAACTAAATTAATCGAGCACTTAAAATGTACGTGGCACTGTGCCTGTGTTATGACCGTATCACTGCCCTCCAGGAGTTTAATACCAAGTCAAGACAATAAAGAATCCATGCAACATTCATTGTGCTACATAAAGTGGGCCATGATTAATTGCCTGATGCATGGTATGGAAATTGAGAGTACACAAGATGTAAAACAGGGCACTTTGCTTTGGAATTCTTAGAGAAAGTTTCTCTCAGTTTTTGCTTCTCCTAACCGAGACATCCCTCTTTTAATTAAGGGTTCTGATTTTTCCATGAGTTAGGAAACAGAGAATCAAGACTGTTTCCTTCAGGGAAAAATCAGAATGCACTTAGCGCAGTCCAAAAAAGTAATGTGCAGACTGTGGGCAAGAACTTTGTGATAAGCATATAGTGTCTTCTGGCTGGGCCCCCAGCTGCCCCAGCAGCTTTCCGCAAAGTGGATTGTTATAAGAATTAGGGGTTATGTGGAGCAACGAGCAGTTATGACATCAGGACTCCTGTGCTGGAGGACTCCTGTGGGAAGAGTAGACTTGCAAGAGGCCCAATAAATATATTTTTAGCTGAATATGCAACAGACTTTTTCAGCTTGTGACTTTGATGCCATTTAGTGTCAAAGTGGAACTCCTGGTGTTTTTAATTTTCCTCCCAGTGAGGTCTGAAAATGCTATACCTTCACTGTCATCAGTCATATCTTAAGTTCTTTTTCCCTCAGACATAAGGCTGAAGTTTATTAGGCTAAATACAGTGGCTGAGGACTGGCTGATTGGAAAAATAGATGGCACATCCACACGGCTGGCACAGAACTTAGCATTTTTCCCTCATGAGTGTAGTATTGACTTTGAGTTCTTTGGGGTTTTAAGAGCATAAATAGCCTCGTCAAATCTGCTATTGTATAAAACTCGTCCCAGAGCAGCGTTCTCAGTTTTCTGCGTAGGGCCTTGTCTGCCCTACCCTGGACATCTGGGTTGAGTGATGGTTTAATCTGTAATACAGAGTCAATTTCTTGAGGGCATGACTGTAAGAGGGAGAAATAGGATTGAGCCTTTCAAAGAAAATAGTCACACTCTTAACCTTGAGCCACTCTTACTTTTGCAGTTATTTGCCCAGATCCACACAGCCAAGTTAGGATGAAACTCAGCTTTTTTTCAACCGTGGATGGACCTTGAGCACTGTGCTTCAGGATTTGCACAGGATGCTGTCACAAGGCCAGAGACTTTAGAGTGCTGACACCAGCTAGCCAGCCCTTTGAATTAAGAGTTTGAGTCCTATTCAGAAAAGCAGAGAACTCTCACTTGGGACCAGTTTTATACAATAGCAGCATTTAACAGAGGCCATTTATGCTCTTAAAAACCCAAAGTCATTTCCCTCATTATATTCATGTTTTCTTGTACCACTTTAAACATATAAGGCATATTTATAGCAACTTCTGAACAGTCTTGACTACTGATCTTATCTGTTTCATTTTGGGATCTGTTTCTAGTGATTATTTTTTCTTGTGAGTCCCTTTTTGCAAGATAAATTTTGATATGCTAATGGATACTGTAAATGTATAAATTCCCTTCTGTGGGCCTCACTTTCCCCAATTTCTCTGGCCTAGATGATTGATCGCAGCGATCCAATTGATAATTTAGGATATAGCTTTATTTCTGAACATGTAGACTAAGCCTGAAGCATCTAAGGTTGGCCTCATAGCATATTTTTCACTAGTTGAGGCTAATGGCCCAGCACACTTTTCCTTTTGATGGCCTAGCTTTAGAGAAAAGTGCCTTGCAGTAAATGAAGTAATGTAACAGTGAAATTGCTTGGCGATTTGAGAATCCAAGCAGAGAGGTATATTAAAAGCACACTGAACAGTCACCTGAAACATCTGGGGACTGATCCCAGAATTCACGCTAACTCATTGTGGGACTGCAGGCAAATATTTGATCTATTCTGGGCCTTCATTTTCCCATTTATAGGATCAAAACATTGACCTTAACACGTCCAGTTACCAACTATGCAACTCCAGGATCAGTTGCTGGAATAATTATCTGCTGCTTTTGGACTTCTAGGAGACAGGTCTTAGCGATGTTTATGTTCTCTGCCTTTGAGTATTTACACTAAGTGGCTGGACTGTCTGCTGTCTCTAAGCAGAGCACACACCGTGACTTCTGACCAAGAAAAACGGTTACTGCATCAGCTCCGAGAAATCACAAGGGTTATGAAAGAAGGAAAATTCATTGACAGACCCACTCCAGAGAAAGAAGCTGAGGAGGCCCCTTACATGGAGGACTGGGAAGGTAAACAACATCTTTTCATTCCTTTATCAGCCCAGAAAAGAGATGTTACACATATTTTAAAGAACAGCTTTATTGGTGAGATATAGTATATATGACAAAATTCACCAATTTTAAGTGTACAGTTAGAAGACTTTTGACAAATATAGAGCTGTGTAATCATCCCAGTCATAATACGGAAGATTGCCATCACTTCAGAAAGTTCCCTCCCCCTTTGTACCTACTCTTGATTTCCTGGCAAAAGAACTGCTTTGTGGCCCTATAGTTTGGCCTTTTCTATATAAATGGATCATATGGCACATGCTCTTTGTTTTTGGCTTCTATGATTTACTGTAATGCTTTTGAGAGTCATGTGCTGAGTATATCAGTTTTCTGTAATTACTGTGTAATATTCTGTTGTATGGCTATATCATTGTCTCTATTCACCAGTTTGGAAACATTTGGGTTTGTTTCCAGCTTTAGGCTATTACGAATCAAGCCGCTATAAACTTTCATGTGCAAGTCTTGGTTTGGATATGTATTTATAATTCTTTTGAGTATATACCTGGGAATGGGTTTTATGGTTAAGTGTGTTTAACTATTAGAAATTGAAGTGGCTCTGCCATTTCACCATCCCATCAGCAGTTTTTAAGATTTATTTATTCATGCATATAAGAACCCAGGGTACAGGCCAGATGTGCAGGAGGGTGAGAGGATTCACCAGAGACAGAGTGGGGAACAGAACAGGCAGATCTACTGAAACACTCTGTTGAGGGGAGCAACAGGTGAGAAAGGAGAGGTCTGGTACGCCATGTGGGTGTCTCCCCAGCCGGCCGGGATCAAACCCGCACTGCAGAGGCTGCAGATAGCTTCATGGCACTGCACTCAACCACCTGCGCCACCAGGGAGGCCCCATCAGCAGTGTTTGAGAATTGGAGTTACTCCTAACTCCATGTGGAAGTTAACTCCTTCCTAACACTTGGTGGTGTCAGTCTTTTAAATATTAGCTTTTCTAGTTATAGTTGTATCTCAGTTGTGATTTGATTTGCATTCCCCAAATGTCTGATGATATTGAATACCTTTTCATGTGTTTGCCATCCATATATCTCTGGCAAAGCATCTGTTCACATTGTTTGCCATGTTTCAAATTGGGTTGTGTTCTTACTGAGATATACAAGAATTTTATACATGCTGGTTAGAAGTTCTTTGTTGGTTATGTATTTTGAAAATATTTTTCCTAACCTATAGCTTGCCTTTGATTTTCTTACCATAATCTTTCAAAGAACAAGTTTTTATTTTGATGAAGTCCAGTTTACCATTCTTACTATTCACATCTTTGCCTACGTTTTGTCTAGCCCCTATGTTTTCTTCCAGAAATTTTATGGTTTTAGCTCTTATATTTTGACCTGTGATCCATTTTGAGTTAGATTACTTTTTTCCCCATATTGTCCTTGGCTCCAAGTGATTTTGTTACATTTAATTACCTTCCCACTAGACTGAAAATCAGTTGACCATGAATGTGTGTCTATTCTGTTCTGTTTCATTGGGTTATCTGTATTTTTCCAGTATCATAATGTCTTTAATTTGATGTATCTTTATATTAAGTCTTGAAATCAGGCAACCCAAGTTCTTCGACTTTGTTTCCTTTTTCAAAATTATTTTGGTTATCCTAGGCTCTTAACATTTTCATTTAAATCTAGAATCATTTTGTCCATTTCTTCAAAAAGAAAAACTGATGGGATTTGGACTGGCATTATATCTTTAGATCAATTTGAAAAGAGTTGACATAATACTGAATTGTCTAGTCCATGAACATTTGATATCTCCATCAATTTTTAGACCTTTAATTTCTCAGCAGTGTTTACAGCACATAGGTAGAACATTTTTGTAAATTTATCTTTAAACAGTTCATACTGTTGTTGTCATAAGTGACATTAAAACTATTACTACTGTAGAGAAAAACATTTTTGTATTCTGAATTTATAGCGTGAACCTTGATAATTATTTATTTCTTAGAATTTTCTACATTGATCATGAAATTATCTGAATGAAAAATGTTTTGTTTTCCTTTCCAACAAATATTTTACCTACTGCACTGACTAGACTAGTGAGAACAAAAATGTATATTTTCCTGATATTTAGGGGGAAACACATTCACTTTCTCCGCTAGAGTGATGTGAGCTGTTGGTTTTTCATGGACATCCTTTTTCAGGTTGAGGGAGCTCCTATTAGTCTTATTTTGCTGAGTTTTTAATTATGAATGCTTTTTAATCAAGAGGGTTGCAGTTCTGTCTGGTAAGATGATTTACATTGGTTTTGAATGTTTCAGCAGCTTTATGTTACTAGAATAAATTCTGCTTTTTCATGATATATATGGCTAGATTCAATTTGCTAAGGATTCTTTATTTGTGTTTACAGGAGTGGAAAATCAGAGCAATATTACCTCATTGTGATTTCAGCGTAATGCTGGTTTCATAAAATGCATTGGGATAGGGTCTATTTTCTGGAAGTTTGTCTAGAATTGCTATTAACTATTTCTTTAGTGAGCATTGATAGTTTTTCTTTCAAGGAACTTACATGTTTTCTCCAAATTGCCAAATTATTAGTACAAAGTTAATATATGCAAGATCTTGTGAGAGGTGTGCAGTCATATCCGTGATATTGGTAATTTGTTCTTTAATTTTTTTGTCCTAGCCAGAGGTCAACTTTGTTGTTATCAAAGAACTATATTTCAGTTTCATTTGATGTTTTTCTATTTTTTTTCTGTTACCTATTCATTGATTTCTGTTATTTCGTTCCTTTTTCTTTTTCGTTTTCCATTGTTTTTCTAGTTTCTTAAGGTGGAAACTTTGATCTTCAAACTATTTTTTGGTCATTATTTTACTAGTGCTCTGTCTCTCTGATTCTTGGATATTACCCCCACGCCATGTGGGGGCAGTCTTTTTTTCTTGCCATGTCTTCAAGTTTACTATTTTCTTCTGCCGTATATAAATCTACCTTTAACCTCTTTCAGTGTACTTTTAATCCAGATATTGTATTGTCATCTCTAGAAGTTCCTTCTGGGTCATTTTTAAATCTTTGATTTCCCTTAATGTACTCATATTTTCTTCTACCTTTTTAAACATATAAGGCATATTTCTAACAATTTCTGAGTAGTCTTGATTACTGATCTTACTGGTTTCATTTTTGGATCTATTTCTAGTGATTACTTTTCTTGTTATATCCCTCTTTACACACATGATAGATTTTGATTGGATAATGAATATTGTAAATTTTACATTGGATGTTGATTTTTTAGTATTTTGAATAGTGTTGGACTTCTTTCAAGTATATTAGTTGGACCTTCAAGTCATTTTTTTAGATTTTTTTAGGGTGAATCCAGAACAGCCTTTACTCTGGCTATTTTAAAAACCCTACTAGTAAGGCATACAGGACTTGTATGCTGAAAACTATACACAAAAGAAAAACTGATGAAAGAAATTAAAGATGATAAAATAAGTGGAAGACATATTTTGCACTCATAGTTTAGAAAACTCAACATAGTGTAAATGTTACTTTTCCCCCAAAGTGACTGCCTTAACATAATCCCTATTGAAATTTCAGCAAGATACTTTGTAGATACAGACAAGATACTTCTAAAATGTATTGGAGAAACAGGAGAAATAGGGAAGAGCCAATCTGCCTGATTCCAACATTATGCAATACAGTAATTACTGTTTAGTATTAGTACAGGAATATAGATTGTTGGAATCAGAACAGAGAACCCAGAAATAGACCAACAGAAATATGCACAACTAACTTTGACTAATGTGCTAAACAGTTCAGTGGAAGACTCTTTTTAACAATTGATGCTACAATTAGACATCCTAAGCAAAAAATGAAACTTCAACCTATGTTTCATACATTATACAAAAATTATAGATCATAGACCTAAATGCAACATGTAAAATTTATAAACCCTTAGGAAAAAAAGGGAAAATCTTTAGGATTTAGGGTTAGGTAGATCTTAAACTTGACATTAGAAGCACAGTATTTTAATGAAAGATTGGTAAATTGTACTTGATCAAAATTAAAACTTGCTCTGTTAAGATGAAAAAATGAACTCCACAGTGGGAGAAAATATTTTCAAATCACATCTTTAAAAAAGGACTAAATATATGAAGAGCTCTCAGAACTCAACAATAGTAGACATTTCACGAAAGAGGACACACAACTGCAAATGAGCACATATGAAGCGAAGAGAAGTTCACATTTAGTCACTAAAGAAATGAAAATTGCAATGATAGGATCACATACCTATCAATTGATAAACAGTAACACCACCAAATGCCACTGGGGATGTGGAGAAACCAGATTCACTCCTCTGTTGCTGCTGGGGATGTAAACAAGTACACATGCTCAGGCACTTTTGAAAAAATGAAACATGCAAATGCTATACAAACTGTTACACTCCTGAGAGCAAAAAAAGTAAGACCTAGTTCACACAAAACTTGTACATTTTTTTTTTTAAAAGATTTTATTTATTCATTTATTCATTCATTTATTTATTTATTTATACAAGCACTGGGTACAGTCAGAAGTGCGGGAGGGTGAGAGAATTCACCAGAACCAGAGCAGGGAGCAGAGCAGGCAGAATGACCGAAGTACACTGCTGAGGGGAGCAGCGGACGGCAGGAGAGGTCTGCGCGCCATGTGGGACCCTCCTCCGGTGGCCGGGGAGCAGCCGGGGATCGAACCAGCACTGCAGAGGCTGCGGGCAGCTTCGCAACCCAGTGCTCAACTGCTGCGCCAACAGGGAGGCCCCAAAACTTGTACATTAATATTTAGAGACTTTATTTGTAGTAGCCTCAAACTCCACATAACCCAACATCCTTCAGCTGGTAAATGTTAAACTAACTCAACAATAAAGGACTGACTACTGATACATGCAACAACCTGGAGGAATTTCCAGGTAATTATGCTGAATGATGAAAAAGCTAATTCCTAAAGGTTATGACGTAGTGTGTGGTTCTATTAAAATGTGA